GTGGGGGGGGTATGAGCCCAGCAAGGGCAGACAGAATTGAAACAGAAGATATGATAAGAGATAGCAGAAAATGATATGGCAGCTATCAGGGCAGCAATGACAGGGGCTGCAAATGGGATGATGGGGTGTCACAGGCAGTGGGCTGAACTGGCATAGCAAGATGGAGGAAAGGAGCAAAAAGAAGTGCAAGTGGCAAGCCAGTTCACGCCAGTAATAGACTGGGGAGGGGAGAGGTGATGAGCAGGTAGTCTGAGGTAACAGGCAGGATAACAAGAGAAGCAATGAAGGTGATGAGCAAACTATGATTCTGCACTTTGCTGGCTGGAATTTATTGTAGCTTGCAAAAGATCTGGACTTGCTTCCCCCCACCTGACTTTCTCCTGATGGGGGAAGGATTGTACTCTTCTCTCCTTTCCTCCCTGCAGTTTTTAATGGAGTGCTTTTTTTCTTAATCACTGTCTCCACAACACACAGGATTTGAAAGCTACTGACAGCAATTCTTAGTTTCTTCTAGGAACTCTGGGCTAGTTATTAACGGAACCAAATCCTTGAATCTAAACACGTTGGCATTTCCCCCTTGTCTGTGTTAATGAGCTGAGGTACTTACCTTTTAGTCTTTGTCTCTGCCCTTTTGTAGAAGGAATTTTTTTTGGCATTTGCATGTCACAGATTGCTCCAAAAAATCTGTGCCAGTTTCTTGGATTGAAGAAAGGTATAATCCACTAAAAAGGGCTCTGGCAGGCTGGCTGGAAATGGACATTGTCTAAATCTGACTGTGGTGGTGTGAAAAGAGTTAAGAACTGGCTGTGAATGAAGTAGTTGGGCCCATTCTGTATTGGCCTAGCTAGTTTCTTAATAAGGGATTAGGAATAATTTATTGCTTCAGTCAGTGCTGTGTTTACTCACACATCAAGTGGGTAGTAAAAAGGATAGATGCATCATTAGCAAAGGCTATATCAAGGATTTACAAATAAGGTAAAAAATGAGAATAAAAAAATCATTATTTGCTATTTATGTTTGTACCCGAAGTGACTCTGAAATTTTCAAATTGGTGTCATAGATCAGTTACATTCAATGGCAGATGCATATATTTTATCACAGGAGGTAATTTCAGGATTTGTCTAAAGCTGAATCACAGTAAGCAAAGATCAGCTTATCAGGCAATATCCTAAGCAGGAGCAGCAAGGAAGCAATCCAGTGGAGTTGACTCAGCCCTTTGCCCTTCTAAAGCAGATAAATTGAATTGCATGCTGTTTGCTGTGTGGCATGTTTCAAATGAAACGTGAAGGAAAGCAGCCCTATTGACTTTGCCTGGGAACTATAGCCCACGCTCATATCAGCCCATCTAAGGAACCCAATTCAAGTTTTCTATTATGGAGTTAAGTGTTGGCCAAGCTACTTTCTCTGCTCAGTGGAGAAAGCGACATGAATTCCATCTACACGGAGTACAGAAACTGCCTCTGGTGACCATATTCTTAACTTTGCCCCTCCTACATGTTTAGGGAAATATTCAGTGCCTAAACATCATTAAAAATGGAGTATGCACCCAAAAGGTCTTGATCACCAGTTCCTCTTTGGTCTGTTTGGTGGCAGGCCTGCTCGCTACTGCTCACCCATGGAAGAGCCGATGGATTCTGGTCGTGCCGTGCATACTCTGTGTATAATTAAGCACTTAGTCTGCCTGTAGGGTGAGCGATTATAATACATTTATTTCCCGCATCAAAGAGAACTCACATTTAATTAGTTTTTCCCAAGTGAAACTGATACCATGAGGGACTGTCAGGGAACTAATTTCAGGTTGTGTACCACTGCAAGTCAAGTTTCTTTGAAATATTTAAGAAAAAAGTTTATCAAATAAAATGTCAGGTTATTGCTGGTTTTATGTCACTCTTTGCATAAAAGTAGAAATGGGGAGTTAGTTCGTTTTCTTCCTAAGTTACAAGTTTCACTGTCAACACACCCCCGTATTTAAAATTCTGAAAGAGATTAAGGCAATTTTGCCCCTGGAAATATAAGATAAAGGCAGTTTTGAGAGGACATCAAAATTAATGAAGTCTGGTTTCCTCTGAATTTGCTCCCTACATTTGTGTACCTGCACCACCATCATAATTTTAGATTTTCGTTAAAAACTTCTTTAGCAGTCTGTCCCCTCTGCTAGCTGATATCAGGCATCATCAGTTCTCAACCACTGCTGACTGATGAGGTGATAGGACAACCCAGGTTGGAAGGGACCCCAGGAGGTGTCTAATCCAACTTCCTGCTCAAAGCAGAGTTAACTAAGTCATCAGACCAGTTCGTTCAGAGCTTCTTCCTGCTGGGTCTTGAAAACCAACAAGGATGGAGACTGTACAGCCTCTTTAGGCAATCTGCTTCACTGCCTGGAGCTGTAATTCCCTTATATCCACTCTGAACCTCTCTTTCAAGTTACGTCTGCTGGCCCTTGTCCTCTTGCCCTGTATCATTTTGAAGAGATTGACCCTATCTCCTTGATGATAGCCCTCCACACACCCCCCTGCCACAGGCACAGGGAGACTGCTGTCAGGCCAGCCTGAAGCTGACTCTTTCCCCAGCTGAACCTACCCTGGTCCATCAATGTCCCTTCACAGGGTAGGTGCTCCAGCCCTGAATATCCTGGGGGCCCTCCTCTGAACTTGCTGCAGTACTGGAGGGTCCAAAACTGGACACAGTACCTAGATGTGGTCTAACTAGTTCTGAGTAAAGGGGGGAAATGATTTTACCTGACCATGCTCCTGTTAGGAGAGCCCAGGGTGCTGCTGGCCATCTTTGCTGTTAGGACGTGTTGTAGGCCTCTTGTATTACCTTGCTGCCTGATAGGGTTGCTCCCAACCAGTTTCCCCAGCCTGTACCAGTGCAGAGGTAGCATCACGTTCATGATGCTTCTGCCCATCAACTGAGCTCTGATCTGGGGCTGTTTTCTCCACCCAGCCTTTGATTTTTCCCAAAGCTTGTGAAGATGCGGTACTGGCATGGGCGAGGGGAGAAGCTGCCTTGCTGTCAGATTGGCCAGAAATCAATCAATGGCAAAAGTCCCTTGGGGGAGTGAGGGAGAAAAGATGAAGAGGTAGGCAAATGCCACATCCACACAGGCATCCTATTTCCCTTGTAGCCTATTTCCCACCTTAAAATTACAGCTGCAAGCACTGAGCGTCTCCACAGAAACTCAGATAAAACCATAAAATTAATTTTTATTGACACTTTCTACATTCAGAAGAAACATGTAATTCCCAGTTCTTATTTTAAAAGCAGTATTAAAATAAAGCAATGCTCTTCTGCCTTGCAAAGACTGCAGCTGGACAGAATGAACTAAGTGTTTTAACATAAGGCACAAAGGAGCAGTGCCAGTCACCTCAATGGTGTTTATTATTTCTGAAACAGCATTATTAGGATCAGTATCTCTCATGACCACATTTCCATCTGGCATCTCAAAGAAGTTGCTTGAAATAGATTAAATTACTTCACCCCATCTTTTGTCTTATCGAGAAAAAAAAAATCATGTCATGTCCATGTCAAGTCATTGTCTGATCTTGGCCCCTGCAAGGTCTCCGCTGTTACTTCACCATTCCCACTTGGGGAAAATATTAGATACGCTTCATCTGCCAGACCATGGGTTAAGATATGGTTCCTGCTAGCATAAAAGTGAAATTGGAAGCAGCTGATCCTTTGCTCTACAAATAAGCAAACAAACCCAGAGAGTCTCAGAGGAAAGATCACCAGTGCCCAAGCAAATATGAGCAAGATCAAGAAGAGCTTTTTCACAATCGGTTGAGATTGCAGAGAGCTCAAATAAACATGTAAAATGAAACATAAAGAAAAAGGAACATGAGGGCACTGTGTCTGCACTGAGCTGTGTGTCTGAACAGATTGTCATACAGTAACAAATGAAACTGTAATGACAAGTAGGAATGGGATAGTAAGTTCTCAGATGCATCTAATCTAGCTATTTAGATGATGAGCCACATAAAACCTTGCTGTGTTTCCTAACCCTCCATTGTGCAAACACTATGATCGGGATGATGTTAAATGTCAAGGAATTTGTTCATTCATTATGATATGATGACAGCTTGCTTCAAAAGCTTTCTGATAAAAGGGACACAAGACATGTTTCTTGATTCATGGTAGAATAATTTATTCAGCACAGATGCCTTGCTTGACTTGCGGAACTACAGTGTATTAATTAAGTTACATGTAGAAAACAAAGCACATGTACATTCTCTTGAAACCAGAAAAGTTACAAAGGTGTTGTAAAAAACAACCCAAATCCAGCACATTCAGCTTTTGTAACCAGTTCTAGACGTATACAAGTTTTAAAACATCTACACAACAGTATACATGGGGAAAGATTTGGCTACCTTTTGGTTACTTTTAGTTATTCTAAATACTTAGGCTGTACATCTGTGAAAGACATTTATTGACAAAGACTTTCAGAAGCTTTTATATGTAACAGAATGATGAATACATTGAATTAAACTAGCCAGAAGATTTTAGAACAAAGCTGAATTATAATAGCTCCATGAGTCCCAAAGTGATTGAAGAATTTTCTTATAGACCTGAAGTAATAAGAGCTTTTTAGAAAATCCAGCAGCTAATATCTCTTATATATGTGTGACTTGAATGTTTTGAAATGAATCTGTGAAATGTATGAGTTAAATTTACAGAATACAATTTTTATTTTACTGCTGTCTTTTTCTACTGTGTTTTCTCTTTTGAGAATGTGTAAAATCATGTAACTTCCAAATTAAGGCCTTTGTTTCTGAACGTGATGTCACCTTCTGCTTTTCCTAACAAAATGGGTAACTGCCTGGTGCCCCCAAGGGCTACCTATGCTGTTGTGTTCTGTGTCTGGTTTTATCACCAAATGAGATGGCCCTACTGCTGCTCTGACATGATATTATGTGGTTTGGCTAATTAAAAATGCTGCATTCAGTGTATTACATGGGTTTTTCATTAGAAAGGTTTCTGAACTACCAAATGATTTTGCAACTGGTCTCTGGTGCAAAAGACCATTTTTATTTATTCACCAGCCTTTGAGCATGCAGAAGCGTGGCCAGAACATATGTTATGCTGAGTTCCCCAGGATTCCTAGTGGCCCCAAGAAAATGTTAAAAATGTGTTTAGAAATTATGAATATTTTTGTCCCACAACATTATATTATTATTATCATAATTAACTTTTCTACATCTGTTATTATTTAGAGAATTTTGAGGTCAGCGCTTGATCCCCAGCGGTTAATTAGTTGTACCCCAGACAACTGGTTTCAGAGTGTAGATGAGAAATAAGAGGCGTGGAAAGACGTGAGCAAGCACAACAGAGAGGGGAGCAGGCAACCATTTCTGCATATATCTCTATGTAAGGACCAAATCTGATTGAAAGGTGGTTTACTGTCCCTCCCCGCATCCTTCTGGACAAGTTGTCCAGTGGTGAGATAAGCAGGGTCATGGAGAGCTGGGTGAAGAACTGGCTGAAGGGCAGGGATCAAAGGGTTGAAGTGAACTGGGCTACATCTGGCTGGTGACCAGTCACCAGCACTGTTCTTCAGGGCTCAATTCTAGGCCACTTCTGTTCAATATTTGTATCAATGACCTGGAGGCAGGAGCTGAATGCACAGTTAGTGAGTTTGCTGATTATACTAAATGGTTGTGAATAGATTGAAGCAATCACCAAAGGCATGAAATTGAACAAGTCAAAATGCTGGATTCTGCACCTGAGAAGGAGTAATGCTGGGCACAAGTTTAAACTGGGAGAGGAGTGGCTGGAGAGCAGCCCTGCAGAAAGGTGTTTGGGGGTGCTGGTTGACAGGCTCATAGGAGTCAGCAGTGTGTGCCCTGGCAGCCAAGAGGGCAAACCACATCCCGGGTGCATCAAACACAACAAACCAGCTGCTTAAAATAGGTGATTATTCTGCTGTGTTAAGTCCTGCTGGGGCCTCACGTTGAGCAATGTGTGCGCCTCTGGGTCCTACTATTTAAAAAAGATGTGAAGGTACTTGACTGTGTCCAGAGGCGGGCACCAGAGCTGGTGAAGGCTCTGGAGACATGTCCTGTGAGGAGTGGCTGAGGGCTCTGGGTTTGTCTGCTTTGGAGAGGAGGAGGCTGAGGGGCGACCTCACCGCTCTCTGCAGCTTCCTGGGGAGGGGAAGGGCAGAGGGAGGTGCTGAGCTCTTCTCCCTGGTACCCAGCGCCAGGACGCGTGGGAATGGCTCAGAGCTGTGTTGCCGGGGGATGTTCAGACTTGACATGAGGAAACTTTTCTTTACCGGGAGGGTGGTCAAACCCTGGAACAGGCTTCCTGGAGATGTGATTGATGTTCCATGTCTGTCAGTGTTTGAGAGGCATTTGGACAATGCCCTTAATACCATGCTGTAACTTTGGGTAGCACTGAAGCGGTCAGGCAGTTGTACTGGATAGACGCTGTAAGTCCCTTCCAGCTGAACTATTCTAGTCTAGTCTAGTGAATTCTTCTTCCTACCTCCCCCTTGCCCTGCCACTACCTGCTGAGGAACTCCCCGATGACATTTCTCCCCAGCCCTGCACTAGCAGAAAGCCCTGAATACCCGTAGCCATGTCCCACCCTAGGCACTGGCTCTGTCACGCTGTGGGAGGGAGGCCTGCACCTTCCGATGGGGGTGAGAGCTGTGGATCGTCTCGTGGGCATCTGACCATATAAACAAATTTTTAAAAAGCAAGTGTGAAGTGCAATTTTTGGAAGTTTTCTGTGTTCATCCAGTTTCACTGGGTTCCCTCAGGAGGGTAAAACCCCTCATCTCTGACCCTAGCGAGGCTCAAAGGTGAAGCCCTCAGTCTGAAGCAGGACGTGCTCCTCAACTAAATGG